TTTTTCCTTCCGATTAAGTGTCCCTTTTATTTTTGAATAACAGCCCCTTCCCCTTTTTATAGATGCCCATTTTCACTACTAAAAATACCCCTATTGATATGTGATAAGTTGCTCCTTTTCCTTTAACAAATGCCCCTTTTTAGCGTTGAAGGTGTTATTTTCTCAGCAGATTTGGGCGCGGGGAATAGAAACAGTCCAGGCAGCATTGAAATAGAGCCGAGTGTGAAAGTGTATCTTTCATCTTGCATCTCTTGGTCTTGCGTGAAGTTTCTGATTTGGTGATTCGTTTGTGACGCCGGTACACTAGTCATGCAGACTCTTAAGGAATCGCATGGTGCAGTGGTTTGACGCCTCGTCTAACGCCGGCTGCACATGAGGCGTCAAGTCACAGCGCAAAATAAATCTCTTAGAATATTTTATACAGTTCCAAACAAATTTCAAACCTTTAACGTTAAATGTCTGAATTTATTTCGTTCATATATATTCATTGTTTACACATAGTATTAACCACTTTCCCTTATGGTAATTGTGCCCACTGCTCACAAGGCATAATTTCCTAACGTATGATTGCGTCAGCGACTGGCGCTTTCATTTGGCGCAGCATGTAAAGCGACATTGTACAGAAAGTAGAATGCAAGATGAGCAGATCGCTACGTTGGGTTGAATGACTGGCATGTAGGATAATAATAATAATAATAATAATAATAATATTCATTTGTAAAGCGCAATAACTATGTGGATATATTCTACTGCGCTGCAAAAGCTCGTAAATGCTGTGCTTTACATACTATATGAACAAGTGAGTTTTCAGTTTTGATTTAAAATTATCTAGTGAAGGGGCTTTCCTTATTTCTAGTGGTAATTTTTTCCATAATCTAGGGGCAGCACAGAGAAATGACCGGTCCCCGAGGGTTACTTTTGTTTTATATGGGGGTATTTGCAACATCAATGTGTCTTGTGTACTACGAAGGTTACGACCATGAGTTTGAGACTTGATATGCAACAATTCAGTAACGTAACTAGGAGTTTGACCATTTAGAGCTTTGTAGACTATCATTAATATTTTAAATGTAATTCTCTGGCGAATAGGCAATCAGTGTAGTTCCTTTAGAAGTGGGGTTATTCGAAAGAATTTTGGGAGGCTGAAAGTTAGTCGTGCACATGTATTTTGGACCCGCTGCAACTTGGAAATTTGTGAGTCTGGCAATCTATACAATAAACTATTACAGTAATCTAGTTAACTAGTAACACATGCATGCATGATAGTTTTCATGCTGTCCTGGTCAAAGTATTTTCGAATGCGTCTCAAATTATAAATCATGAAATAGGCTGATTTGCATATTTTAGTGATATGTGAATCCATATTCAGGTGGGTACACCCACAACAAAAAGTGAGTCACCCTTACTCAAATTGATGAGTCACTGGTTTGTCCGTACAGCGAAACACTTGAAGGATCGTGTGAGTCACTATGACTCGATACAAATGAGTCTTAGATAAATAAGACTCATTTGTATCGAGTCATAGTGACTCACACGATCCTTCAAGTGTTTCACTGTACGGACAAACCAGTGACTCATCAATTTGAATAAGGGTGACTCACTTTTTGTTGTGGGTGCATCATGACATAGACCCCCCTACTCCCTAGGCCTATCACACACATACCATACCATGCCAGAGTCACTGTCCACATTTGCAATGGAAAATATATCCTAAAATATCACTTTTTAGCGATGTAATCGGTGGTCCCGCTACCCGAATCTGAAAAATCTACTTTGTACGCACTAAATTAAGCCTTAACTTGAGATTTATTTGTCACCCATACTGTCACGAAATAATCTTGAATTGATTCGTTTTACATCAAATAACAAGGATCTAGGAGTTTCGTTGTATAAAACAATGATGCAAGATCATGCATGTTTTCATTCGACACGGCTTCGTGCGATACAGTAGAATCTATAGTTAAGTTACACACAGCCTCATCAACTCGAGTGCGGATATCGTAAAATGAACGCATGCATCATTTGTACGAATCCAGTCATAAAAAGCATCGTTTAAAACCATATGAATAATTATGCGTACCAATTTTTCACTAGCTGCAGTCAAAACTCTTCTGAATCCAAGATATAAGATGGCGACGTCGCGTCGTCGATCGGGAATTCAAATATGGCTCGAGAATGCGCATTTTGGATGACGTAACGAAAGCATGCGCGCGCATGCATACAGCCTCACTTTCAAGTTGACTCACTTTTTTCTTCTAAAATGCTCTTATGTCGATCTTGACTCATTTTTTACGACCATGTGAGTCAGTCGAAGCATTTTGCAAATGCGTCAGCTCATGATTGACACACTGGTGAAATACAAATGAGTCAATAGAGACTCATTGGTTGTTACTAATGAGTCAATTTACACCTGACTCACGAAAATTATGCTTAAATGTGTCAAATGACTCACTTTAGCCACACCTAAGGATAATGTCCTTCACAGGCTTAATCAGGGACCCGTTTCACAAAGCCTGTTTTCAATGACAAATGACCCAAATCAGTAACAAATCTGCTTATAACCAATCAGAAGCAAGGAATTCAGTAGCTTCTAACAAAAACTGTCATTTGTCACTGATGACAACTTTTGTGAAAAGGGGCCCAGAACAGATCACGCGTAGCAGCCGAAAAGAGGCCCAGTGTACAGCGAGAATTACTCTCTCCCTCTCTCTATTTACTCTCTGTGTGTGTCTCTCTCTCTTTCTCTTTTTCTCTATCTCCCCCCCCTCTCTCTCTCTCTCTAATATACTATTGTTCTCAGTTGAACTCTCTTCCTCTTGGTCTCTCTTTCTCTCTGTAAGGATCTTCTCCTCTTGACACCCTTCCCTTTCTTTCTTTCTTTCTTTCTTTCTTTATTTATTTATTTCTTCCTTCCTTTCTTTCTGTCCTTCGCTCTTTATCCTCCATGAATGATGTTGTCACGTTCTCAAAGTTCTTTCAATTTCTATCTCTCTCATCTAAAACTTATATTGATGTCCTTTTTCATGATAGATCTACTGCTTGAAGTAGGATGTATAAGAACTAAAGACTTCTCTACATTTGAAACCGTCGAATAGATAAAGAAGAAAGTTAATGATCTTTGATTGAAGTAAATAGTTTATTTCAGCAGACACAGGTCATAGTCATAAAACATGAAAACATGACTTCTTTGAAGTTAAAAATACATCTAACAATATAAATAAGTCGAGTTGGAAGTATAGACAAAAGATCGAAGACTTGATTCAAATACACGATTTAAGATATTTTCCTTTAGACAATATTTGTTTTGGATAAATATTTTGAAATAATTTAAAACATCAAGTCGACAGTAATTAAACTTAATAGAATACACGATGCAGCTACAAAGAATTTTTCTTTGATTCAATATCTATTTAAAACGAGTAAAAACAATTTTAAAAAAATAAGTTCATATTACGATATAAATGTTTATAAATTAGCTCTAGTACACACTTCACGCCGCAAGGAATGCCAACATCTTGATTAGGTATTGTTCGAATCTAAGCTTTTCATATTAAACGAGTATGAAATGTGATCTCTTAACAGGTTTATATTTCATACTCTAAGGCTAATTCATGAATGCATACGTAGAATAGCTCTGTTATATCTTAATTTCTGAGGAATTCTGAAGTTCAACTATTGATATTGCGTGGCGATGACAACTAGCAGGTGACAGAAGATGATCTCTGATCTCCTTCGAAGGCAATAATCTGAGTAACGACATTTGACACGCCATGCCGATGAACTTCTTAGTCTGTTTCACTAGACTCAACAGATGATTCAGCAGAAGCAGAGACGGAGGAAGAACGCCTAAAACGAGCTGTATGGGAAGAGAAAACATATAAATTATTTCCTTAAAGATGTTCAACAGCTCATTTGCAACCCCCAAATTACTGCTAGAATACATGTTATCATTATTATTAATAATACAATTAAGTAGTTGGCGTCCCCTGTGCGAAAGGCAAACTGAATCACTGTAACCATCGGGTCTCTCCTCCCGGTATAACTGATTGGGGGTGTGCAGGTGGACCACTACTCCGGGGTTTCCCCCTAATCTTATGCGAATAGTGCAAGGTGTTACGTGTTAGAGGATCACATATTATCGTCAATGTAACCACGAGGAAAAATACCTACGACAAATACTCCGATTATAATTGCTCCTAAGTCGATTTTCCACACTAGACGAAAGCCAAATTCCACCCTGAAAAAGAATACCCCTTTATATCCTTACTCTGTACCGAACCTAAAAATTAATTGCAACCCTGAACCCGAAATAAATCCAAGAACAACAACTGTCGCTGGAGGTAATGTTGGATCAATCTGAGAAAAAAATATAACCGAAGGAACTTTATCTGCTGGACATGAAATTGCCCTGAGCGTGTTTTAAAATGTTGTCTTGAATCCATTTTATTTATTTAATACAGAATTCGTTACTATATGTATACACAAACCAACTTTTGACCTGAATTTCCTCAAATATTTATATTTAAAAAACAAATTGCATTAGTCTTACAATCTGACTCTACTTTAACCACGCCTAATAACACAATGTTCGTTTTTCATAATCGCAAATAATTAGAAAGAGGAGGAAGGCAAAGGGGTAATGTCTTTCTCAATGGGTGTTATTGAATCCTTTTAGTATATACAACTTGTTTATTTTAGAAGGTTCTTCTGAAGTTAAATATGAATTTCATTATCGGAAAACTCGGAGTGTCTAGTTTAAAAAAATACATCCCTCCCAAAAAGCAAGAGATTGGATACTTCGGCGATGTTCCTTACCTGAAGCGGGACACGAGACAACTCGGATGCAAACGCTCTCCAAGATCTCACAAGCATCGGCAAAGTCCGTTTCACCTTCCTCTTCCAAACACACCTGATTATTATCGGCTGAATTCAGCAAAGCCTGCTCATCAGCAGTCACTAGCCCGGGAAGTCTTTCTTCACAGTCGTTCATCACTGTTCTATATCTCTCACAGAGGGCTTGAAACTCCGAAGTGCGATCGATGGTTTGGGCTGTAAATAGTTGAAAGAAACGAAATTTTAGAGAAAGCAATGAGGTTTTTTTAAAACAAGAGTAACAAAATTCTAAAAAGAATCTGTACTTCAATACTACCTCATTTGAATTAACAATGTAATGAAAGCTCTGCGTAAAACGACGGGGTATTTAATTCGAATTACATGCCAAGTCCCAAGTATATGGTATTTCCGTTATTATCCTTTGATTCATGAAGATATTCGAATCTCCTTACAAATGAAATTTAAACAAACGATATCATTAACATTAGTTAAAAGTGCCAAGTTAACGCTTATGAAATCATGTTATATTCATGGGAATTCATAACATGAAGAAGTTCCCCCTAAAACATGGAATAAATAAGCTAAAGTTGAACACATGCTACATACTAACATTAACTTGTAAACAATATAAAAAATGCATGTATATATTCCTATATTTACATATTTTTGGTCATGGTGAAATGATAATCATGAATAAATATTTCCTTCATCTCATCTTCAAAGCAATATTCATTATTGATATGCATTATTTCTATCTAAAATATATATCATAATTATTTTTATCGCATGACGGTATACTCGAAAAAGATTAAAGTGACTTTACTTTGCATCTCTGTTCCAGACTTTAACAAAAAGAGAAAATTATGAAAATGTATTCTTACCTTTGATTTCCAGTGTAACAAATGCAAAGAGGCACAAGCAAAGGGACAGAGTTTTTACCTATATAAAAAAGAAACCAAAATAATAGGCATTAACATAATTTGCCTGCAACATGTTCATTGAGTATTCCAAGTCGCAGCAAAAACAAAATGGAAACAACAAATCTTAATGAAATTCATAGAGTATATAAATTAAACTTACATTAACATTTTACTTGTACAAAGAGGGAAATTGGAAAACATCAAGACATGTCGTACAATTTTCCAATAATATAAACAAATTAGTTTACAGCAATAATGATGTAATTCATGAGAGCCCTGCAATTAAATTTCCCAAGCAATTGCCAGATACTCATTTACACCTGGGTGGAGAGTGGCAAATGTAGTTTAATATCTTGCCAACGAACGTTAATGCTGACTTGGATTCGTACCCTCAACTCTAGGATTCAGTGTTGAATAAGCGAACCAATATGCTGTGACACCGTTGTCAAAAACATAAACAACAGCCAATCCAGCAAATAAGCATGACAATTAAAAAAAGGTAGTAGATAACATTTTGCCGAAAGAAATTTGCCATCAAATCTCAAACCTCCAAATCGCAAGCATATTTTAGATGCATTGGTTTTAAAATGTTTGTCACAGTCCTTAAACTAATATAGGAGATGTGTGACATGTGTAACGAAAGAAAATTATACTTACTACTGAAGCCATTTTTAGAAAGTTCGTTGAGTCGAATGCTTTGAATCTAGTGAAGTATTGATGGTTGATGAGTGAATGATGAAACAAATCATTTCGTCTCCTTTTATAGGATATTAAAACAATCATACTGAGATTTTTTTTGGGGGGCGGGTCAATTTATGCAAAGTCAAATCTATTTCTTCCATTAAAAAAACAACTTATAATTGAATAATTAAATTATCATTTCGTATTTCATTAGTGAATAATCAAACTGTTATTTTGTATTTTATTAATGAACAGTTAAACTGCAACTTCCTTCTTCTTTTTTTAGGCCATTTATTCTTCATTCTGCGTTAGGTAGAAATGACAGTTGAAGGATGAACAGTAATAATAATTCTATGCTTTTATGACCGTGTACAATGACTGATAAAAGATATTCCGAAATTAATTGACGTCCTTTTGGCCTGGGTGGCACGGCAACTGCTTACCAATTTTAAGGTCACGTCGTTAAATCACTGCAATGTAGGATCCTCTATACGTAATAGTTTTTAAATTTGGCAGAGGACATGGGTACTCGTTTTTTTTTATAAAGAAAGAATGTGAAATGTAAAAAAAAAAAAAGGGTAAAACATATGTGTAGGGCCTATAGAGAAATTCAATCCAACCTTAATAGCAAGTTATTTTAAAAGAAAGCAGACAAAAGTTACATCTGATCCAATGTGGCTGTGAGAATGGAGGAAACAGGGAAACACAAAATATATTTATAAGGTCTTCATTTAGCCTACCATGTTTAAAGTGCGTCTGATATCTACAGGAGAACGGAATAAATCAAATTTTCAGGGAATTGAAAAAACAACACCAGGGGCCTAAAAAAACAATACCCAAAGTAATTTAAATTAAATAAATTTTAAATATTTTATATGAAATGGACTGCCAATACGCGAACTCGAATGCCTGAGTTCACCTTTCGACAATTACCGACGAATTTGAACAAATCTTGGCACACGCACTAGACAGAATGAATTTGGATGATTAAAAGGTAAAATCCCATGCACAAGACTCTATATTGAATGACTGAAGTGTAGTTTATCGTAAATAGATCTAATTACACGTGACAGTCAATCGAGATATGGCGGACGATGTTGATAATAAACAAGCTTGGATAATCACCAAACTGGTTAGTTGTCATTTGTTTTGGCACGGTAGATGTTATAAACACCTGTAGAGTGAAAATACTACCAAGATGTCAAAGGGATCATTGGTTGGCAATACAAATGTAATTATGGAAGGCAGAACCGTTGCTGCTGTTATTAAAGTCAAAGATAATAACATATATATTCACAGTTTATTATATCAAAATCATGAACAAGCTGATTTAACCTTAACATACTTCAATCTTTATTTCTTTTTTTCATAATTATTTCGAAATTCATTTTTTTTTAATCCAACTTATTTTCTTAGTTACAGCTGAGGGTACAGACTTACACGTTTCACATTAAACCCCCAAACCCCAAATGTTCTTGTTATTATATTATGTATTATTTTACAATAACCAATTCATGATGATAAATGCTTCAAAAAGAGATAGTATTTTTATTCTTAATTAATACCATTAAACAAACAACTTATTTGTATACTTTAAACTGTCATTGAAATCATCACAAAATTTCACTCTTAATTCCCCTGCTGGACTTTTGTCCCGATTGTATTTCATCAACGTAGTACGACCGACTGTCCACCCCCCCCCCCCCAATGACACCACATATTATCTTCATAATCATTATTATAATTATCATTATTATTACTGATATTATTATTTTTATCATTTTAGTAATTTTGTTGATTTTATTTTATCGATATCATTATTTTAATTATAATTATCATAATATTATTTTTTATTTTCATTTATTTTATTATCAATATCATCATATGTTTCATTTAGTTTTATATTTTCTCCTTACAGAAACGTTGGTTGCTATGTACAACAATTAATTACATGTACTCTATTTCACCTCACCTTCAATGGTAGCAATTACGTATAACTGATCAGACAATGTTATAATATAACGGTGTTGACGAAATCGGTGAAGCGGCAATTACGGTGCCAATCTAGGGATTCTTGTGTTTGTAGAACATCCTTAATTATTCATTATGATTTTCAAGAGCTGGATATGGTCATTATTTTGTATATCCTTCAGCTGTCATTGCTTCATGATTAATCGGTGGTTTGAATTGTGAAATGACAGTTTAGCTGTTTATTAATGAAATACAAAATGACAGTTTAAAATTAGTTAATAATGAAATAGAAGATTACAGTTTAATTAACCAAAGGTAAATTGTTTTCATATAAAAGTTTGTCTGAATTTGCATGAATTGACCCGCCCTCATCACAGATTTTTTTTTTTAGATCCTATAAAAGGAGGTTAAATGATTTGTTTCATCATTCACTCATCATTCTTCGATACTTCACGAGATTCATAGCATTCGAGTCAACGAACCTTCTAACATGGCTTCAGTAGTAAGTACAATTTTCGGTGAAAGACCTAACGTATCTCATTTCTGATATTAGCTTCGTTATCAGAATCAAAGTAGCATATCTCAATTCGAGAAGGGCATTTTACTAATAAGAGATGGGTTGTGACATAGTAGTAAAATAATTTGTAATGTTTTGTTCTGTTACAATGGTGTCATGGTATAGTTCATTCACTTAACTCTCATTCCTTGGGTTAAAGAGAAGGTTGAGTTCTGGGAAGAGGTAAAAAATAATTTGTGAGCGTTATCATTGTTACTATGCAAGGGTGAAAGAACATGTTCCCTTAAACGTGTTCCCTGAAAAGCATGGCTCTTCAAATGCCTTCATATTCTAATTATGACATGAAACATCGTAAAAATCGGGGGGTAGATTTTTTTTGCCATGTGCTCGTGTAGTCTCATATACATCATTCTGTGTACAGTGCTTGTAACTTTGCTAAGATTTGGCCAAATTTTTTATCAATTTGAGGATTCCAGAACCTTGCAATACACACGAATACTTATATACTAGATGATCAACCTTTTCTGATAGATTCCACATCGTTTCTTTCAAAATGCAATCACATGACCAGAACTCAACTTTATCTTTAAGGGTTCGAAACCCAGCCCGATACTAACGTCCTTTGGCAAGACATTAATCCATATTCGCCACTCTCTACCCAAGGATAGTTGTTCGGGTAATGATGATTGCAGGTACCTCAGGAAGAACAGCATTGATGCTGATAAAGGTTTCCTTGTGTAAACGGAGGTGGACAATTAAATATACAATCTGTCGGCAAACTTCGAAATTGTTTTGGAGGTTTTGATGTTTTCTTATCATGCAAGCAATACATTCTTTATGGACTACATCGAACCTTTTTTAAAATTCTATACCGTTTTGTTGCAGTACTAACTACTCCCGGAATGTATCCGAGACAAATCATTGATTTTTACGCGGCTCTTTCTTTATTTTCAGGTAAAAACCCTTTCCCTTTGCCTGTGCGTCATTGCATTTGTTACACTTGAAATTAAAGGTAAGAACGCATCTTTATTATTTATATTTCATCATGTTTTATTAAGATTTTAGAACGAAGATGACAAATAATACCTCTTGGGTCTCTTCGGGTACAGACGTCGTTCATGGGGAACTGTGCAATGTATTTCACATGGAAATAATATATATCGATATAATGAATATCATGTTAAGGATGGAATATGCAATAATTTTCAATGGTTATTAAAGATTCTGTCTCACAGTAAATATATTAGGGGACACCAATTTTTTTTTGTAAAATCTGTAATTAACTATTAAATTATTTGTTGGTATACGATATAAATTCAAACGAATACATTTGTTATTGTTATTTATGTAGTTAATGATATTGTTCATAACTACTTTCATTGGTACGGCGATTCAAATATTATCTACATGATTGAGGGATGATTTCGCAGGAATTTCATATGTTTTGTGACTATCCGTTTCGTCTAAATTAAATATTCTGTCGTTGTACGTGCATTAAGAAAAATGAAAACCTATGGATTCAAAAGAGATAGTATTGGAGAACAGGTTTTAAACAACATTTTATTTTGCTTAAAGTGTCATTGCTTTCTCTAAAATCTCGTTACTTTCTCCTAATTATAGCCCAAACCACTGATCGCACTTCGGAGTTTCAAGCTCTCTGTGATAGATACAGAACAGTGATGAACGACTGTGAAGAAAGACTTCCCGGGCTAGTGACTGCTGATGAGCAGGCTTTGCTGAAGTCAGCCGATAATAATCAGGTGTGTTTGGAAGAGGAAGGTGAAACGAACTTTGCCGATGCTTGTGAGATCTTGGAGAGCGTTTGCATCCGAGTTGTCTCGTGTCCTGCTTCAGGTAAGGAACATCACTGAAGTAACTATTTTTGGGGGAGGGGGGGGGGGGGAGTGGTATACTTTCTTAATGAATTCGATTCATCTAGTAGCAATAATTGTCGTAGGAGCAAAATGTCGAAAACTTTTTGTTAATATGTTCATTTGCTCATATGTCACTTCATCAAACAATTGATTTTATTCATCGTACATGTTATGAGTCGAAAATAGCTTACAATATCTCATAATTGATGTGTTTTTATCACCCCATACAGCTCGTTTTAGACGTTCTTCCTCTGTCTCTGCCTCTGCTGAATCATCCGTTGAGTCTAGTGAAACAGACTAAGGAGGCCATCGCCAAATATCGTCTTTGAAGAAGATTAGAGATCATTCTTCTGCACCTAGTAGATATCTGAAGTTTAATTTATTGTTATTCATTTTTATTTAATTTTACGTATTTATAATTAAACACTAATGTATGCCTTATCAATTTCGCCATTTTTGAGATGATTAAATGCTTACATAATGTACTGCCCTCGGGACTGCCCTCATCAAAATAGATATTAAAGTTTCATAATAGTGTGATAAATTCAATTCAAGCTAAGCCTTCATCATCCGTGATTGGTAATTAACATTTGTGTTGCTATAGCCTTCTTCGTTTACTCTTTAGCTTGTAAATAGACTGCATTATACTTATACATTCTATTAT